TTGTGGATTGGCTCTCCAACACACCGGTGTGCTGTACTAGTACACTACACTATACACAACACAATAGACTACACTATACACTACTATACACTACACTACCATACACTACACTATACACTACACTATACACTACACTGTACACTACACTACTATACACTACACTACTATACACTACACTATACACTAGTGCTGTACTAGTATACTACACTATACACTACACTACTATACACTACACTATACACTACACTATGCACTACACGCTAGTGCTGTACTAGCGACGAATTGGCCACGTTCTGTTTACGTGACAACCCTTACTAGTTGGCTGTGTCGGGTGGTGGCGGGTGTTAACGACACATTTATATATTTACGCGATCTCACCCAAAAAAAACCTCTACTATGGATGATATTGGTCGCGAAAGCCTCCTACGTGATACACTAAATACATATAATGAATCAGAAAGCGAAGACACATTTTGTTCTGACATGCCGTGGTTCAAACACAGCATGAGTCGGCTCTGCACTGCAACGTGATGTGTTCAGCTCTGTGCGGATGTTGAACTTAATTTCGGCACCGCACGGAGCCAAGCGCGCTAATCGGAGGAGCTACGATTGCTGTGGCATCTCGCAAGGGCCACTGAAGTGGGGGCTGCTCATACTGCAGACGTCGCCAGCGAGGCCAAACAGCAGCACCCGCAGAGATTTAAGGGGGTAATTTTGAGTCTTCTTGTCGGGCTTGGAGTGGGGGGGAGGGAAGGGCGAGGGGGAGGGGTGGTGGGGGAGGGGTGGGGGGCGCTATCTTGCTCCTGCCACAAAATGAACGCACTCAATCAAGGAGTGTTGCCGGATATGGTAACAAGATCATCCCAGACTGAGATAAACCCCCGACAATGAACGGCAATAGAAGCCATCTTTGTAAATAAATTAATATAACATTCACATATTTCAAGACAGGTAGCCGCAGGCAATGCTGTCAATATAACATCGCCATCGCTACCTACCTTCTGCCATATCCAGAGTACCAGCAGCAGCAGTAGTAGTAGGAGTACTATAATTACAACCACAGACACAACTACCACCAGCAGGAGAAGTACTATCACTACCCAAGAAAAGAAATCACCCGTATAGCCTTCACAGGCTGTTGGAGCAAGTGCTGTAGGCGAGTAGCACCTGTGGCACACGAGGGATTGGCCGGTCAACACCACGCCCGGCCGCCTTTGTCTCCCAAGTTGGCTATGTTTACCAGAGGTCGCAACCGGGTACCCGATACCCGTACCCTACCCGATACCCGGCTACCCGTATCCGGCCGGGTACGGGTACGGGTACCCGTTTGCGACCCTGGTGCGGCCGGGTACGGGTACGGGTAGGCCGTGAGTCACTGGTGAGTAACCGTTTGTCACTCATTTCCCAACGTCTTGTCTCTTCCCACAATTCAAGTTCCTAGAATCAACCCACCCGCGCCTGCAACATGGCTTCATCCCAGAGGTCGCAATCAGGTACCCGATACCCGTATCCTACCCGTGCCCGGCCGGGTATCGGGTAGGGTACGGGTACCCGTTTGCCACACTGGTGCGGCCGGGTACGGGTAAGGAATCAAAACCCGTTTGCGACCTCTGATGTTTACTACACACCGCACCAGGTACTCATTTGAGGCTGAGTCGATCAGGGGGGGTGGGCCCAGAACCGGTTCAAATAATCGTCACCGGCGTTGGCCCGTGAGTGGGAATCGAATTCGGCCCTCTGCCGCGCTAACCGCTGTGCCACCGCTCCCCGCTCGAGATATGACCGCCACTTTACAGGAGACAAACAGCGAAGCAATCGCAGCAGCCCAGAACCCACCGCGCGCTATTCGCCGGCTTGCCGGTGACGGCGCGAGAGAGATGGAGTTCCGCCATGTGGCGCGGCTGGCCCACGCCGTGCCGGCCTTCAAGGAGCAGTGGGCGATGGAGGAGGCCGTGTGCTCGGTGGCAGATGACGGGGGAGCTCTGCGTGCTGATATGAGCTACCCGTCGGAGGCCGTCGGACTGCGAGAAGGGCTGCGTGCAGAACGAGAGAGAGCGAGAGAGTGAGCGAGAGGTGGGGGTTTACAAAAAGCAAAGTTATTAAAAAAAAATTTACGAAATGATGAACGAAGCAAAGTGCCGAATACACCGAGCATCTTCTTGTTTCCACTGATCGTTAAAAAAAGAAGGGAGGTGGAAGCAGAGTGGTGAGTTAAGATGAAGAGAGAGCGAGCGAGAGAGCGAGCGAGAGAGTGAGCGAGAGGTGGGGGTTTACATAAAGCAAAGTTATAAAAAAAAATTACGAAATGATGAACGAAGCAAAGTGCCGAATACACCGAGCATCTTCTTGTTTCCACTGATCGTAACAAAAAGAGAGAGAGAGGCACGCGCTCGCAAGGAGCGCGGACGCGTCCGCCGAGGCCACGGTGCCTCTGGCTCGGTGTTCTTCACTCACTTTCAGAGGGGGAGGGGAGGGAGGGGGAGGGAGGGGGAGGGAGGGAGGGAGGGGGAGGGAGGGGGAGGGAGGGAGGGAGGGGGAGGGAGGGGGAGGGAGGGAGGGAGGGGAGGGAGGGGAGGGAGGGGGAGGGAGGGGGAGGGAGGGAGGGGAGGGAGGGGAGGTAGGTGCCTTCGCCGCTATGGTGCTGGTAGCGCAGCAGCAGGGGATCTGGTGATGGGTTTGTGAGGGTGATTCGTGTTTCTTGTTGGTGTCTATGAACACAGTAACACACAATGGGACTAATGTTACACGGGAAACTCGCGTTATATCTTTGATCAAAAAAAAATACAAACAAACGACATGATGAACGAAGTAAAGTGTCGAAAGACTGAGCATCTTTCTGGTCTGATCGTTTAAAAAAAAGGAGGGAAGGGAGGGAGGAAGCACTTTCGCCGATAAAACATCATCAGTGTGATGAGGGCCGCCACCACACCATTGTAAAACCATTGGGTGTTTGACAGCGGCACGATGATGATGATAGGAGGGGATTGGGGTGGGGGTGTGAATTCACACTTTGTGTATCGTCAGGGGCCGCACTAAGGCCACCAGGGGCCGCCAATAACCCGCGGGCCTTAAACTAAACAAAAATATTTTGTCTTGTTTTATTTTACCAGGTAAGGCCCATTGAGCAACGTAGCTCTTTTTCGGAAGCGACCTGGCCACAATTGAGGGTCCGAATGAAGTGGCTCATCGCGTGGACATGTATTGTTACCAAACACTTGAAACGCGTGGTGATGTCGCCTCGAGATGTGGAGGGAATAACCGGAGGACCCGGAGAAAAATCCAAGCGGCCACGGGGAGAGAGAGAGACACGCAAACTTAAAATATACACAGCAGGCGTCAGTGGTCGGGATCGAACCCACGACATCCTGTATACCAGGCGAGGTAGTTAACATCTCCTAGCCACTGCGATGGTGATGATGAGAGAGAGAGACACGCAAACTACAAATATACACAGCAGGTGTCAGGGTCGGGATCGAATCCACGACATCCTGTATACCAGGCGAGGTAGTTAACATCTCCTACCCACCGTGATGGTGATGATGAGAGAGAGAGACACTCAAACTGCAAAAATACAGCAGGCGTCAGGGTCGGGATCGAACCCACGACCTCTTGCATACCAGGCGAGGGAGTTCACATTTCGCCACTGCGGAACCCCAATAGTGATTTATTTGCATTTTCTATACTTTGCACTGCTGTCGTGTTTTCGTATCGTTTGTTGTTGTAACGTTCTGACCCACCTCTACTGGAGATTTGTGAAAAATAGCTTCATCAGCTTATCGGATTCCTCCAGTAGAAATACATATTCTGATTCTGAGATCGGTCCGGCTTGGCGAGACACCACATCCAGCATTACATCTCGCTATGGCTGTGGCTACTAATCACAGATGCCAGCTACTCATGCAAGTCGTAACCGGGCTACCCGGGCCGGATTTTATTGGGTGAGGGAGTAAAGCTCCCCCCTCGACACGATATTTGGCAGCGGTTACAATGGGGCAACCCTCTCAAAACCACCCCCGCCCCCCCCCGAAGGGTTTCCCTCCGGCAAAGACGTCATCTCAGACGGATGCTGCCCCGCGAAAGAAGTCTCGGTCGCTTTTGGGACCGGTGGTGCCGGAGAGAGAGAGGCTTTTTGGCCCAGATCAAGTGTAGTAGTTATCCTTATCAGTTTAATATCTGATAAGTACTACATTGCCTTTCCGGGCCCTTCCCCCCTCAACCATTATATATACGGAGTGGTAGCTCTTGTAATCTCTCATTTGCTTGATACAGCTGTCGTGGCTGTGACGGTTCCACCTCAAGACGGAAGCTTGTGTTGCATCCGAAACGTCGTGATTTTTTATTTTATTTTATTTTACTTTTATTAATTTTAATTTTTTTACCTACGTGACTTTACCGAAAAAACCTAAGAATATGAATCATTGCAGTCACTGAAAGCTTCAAATCTAGAATACATTGCGGTACCTTATATTAAATATATAAAAAAGAGATCGAGAGGGACAGAAGGAGAGAGAGAGAAGGAGCAGAGCTTTACATTTTCGTGACATCTTTCATTTAAACAGGGTGGGGGGGGGGGGCACGTAAAGCAAAGCATTGAAAAAAAAAACTAAATGATGAACGAAGCAAAGTGCCGACTACACCGAGCATCTTCTTGTTTCTTCTGATCGTAAAAAATAAGAAAGGGCTGCGTGCAGAACGAGAGAGAGCGAGAGAGTGAGCGAGAGAGTGAGCGAGAGGGGGGTGGGTACATAAAGCAAAGTAAAAAAAAATACGAAATGATGAACGAAGCAAAGTGCCGACTACACCGAGCATCTCTTGTTTCCACTGATCGTAAAAAAAAATAGAGCGAGAGGGAGAGAGAGATCGAGAGGGAGAGAGCGCGTTATACGAGCTTCCTTTAAAGACTCAAATCTCCACTTCTACCCCTCCCACACAGCACGCCCATTCCCTCCCTTCCTCGTCCTCCCTCCTGCTCGATCCAGGCCAGCAATGCAGCCCCTTCCCTCCCCCTCGACCGTGACATAAGCAGGAGAGGCAGGACTGCAGAGGCAATCATGATCGTACATCAGACGGCGAGGCGGCGAGGAAGGCTGACCTAACCCTCCTGTCTCTCTCCGTCTTGCCTGGTAGGTAACGCGATTTTTTGGGGTTCTCCCCAACACACCCCACCCCACTACCCTACCACCAGCAAACCAGCCAGAGTTGACACGTATTTGTTTTAGATTTGAAGCTTTCGTGACTGCAAGGATCCATATTCTTAGGTTTTTTCGGTAAAGTCACGTAGGTAAAACATTAAAAAAGTAAAATAAAATAAAAATCACGACGTTTCGGAGGCAACGCAAGCTTCCGTCTTCAGGTGGTACCGTCACAGCCACGACAGCTGTATCAAGTAAATATATGTATTAAGTAAATATATAATATAAACGGAGTGGTAGCTCCTGCAATCTCTCATTTACTTGATACAACTGTCGTGGCTGTGACGGTTCCACCTGAAGACGGAAGCTTGTGTTGCCTCCGAAACGTCGTGATTTTTATTTTATTTTACTTTTTTAATGTTTTACCTACGTGACTTTACCGAAAAAACCTAAGAATACGTATTTGTTTGTTTGATGCGCTTCGAACTTCATCATCTTGATCATCGTATCCACGTTCAGTTTCTGTTTGTTGTTGTCGATAAGTATGTTTTGGGGGGGGAGGGATTTTGTGTGTGTGTGTTTGTCTATTTTGGCTCCGTCTCGCTCGCTCGCTCGGTTTGTCAATCATCTTTTCTGGCCCATTGACAGCCGACAAAGGTTGTCACCTCTCGCGTCCGCGTGTCGATGTCCCCGTGGTGCTTTTAGTTTTGTTTGGTCTCACCGTGGTGGTGTCGTTGGTTTAAAGCGGCCGCTCGCTTCACCACCCCGAAGTTCAGATTTCACGAGCAAATGACGAATCCCTGACCGATTGCTACAGCAACAACAACAACAGCAGCAGCAGCAAGACTTAATTTCTCACCGAATATTTTCTTCAGTCGCAGGTTAAACTGGAGTAGGAGGCGGCACGCGTCTCGCACTAGCCACAGAAATTTTGCGAGAAATATACTGGATGTGGTGAACCGGGTGAGTTCATATCATGTCCTGGTCGTTCTCTCGGTGGAAGTGAAGCTCTTCACCCCCCCCCCCCCAATCAATGATAAATTATTATTATTATGATGTAGCAGCATTCGCCGATGCTATATTTATTTTGTACAGTGACTTCTCTGATGCATTCAGGGGAAATGTAACAGAGGTAATTTACACGAATATTTTTAGACACAGAATTTCAACTCACCGGTGGGCTAAGATGGTGAACTATTTGCCTTTTTCATCATGGGACCTCCTTTGCCATTACCAAAGGTTTTTCCCCTTTTTTCTGGCAACAAAACAGGTGTTAAGACGTTAAAACACCAAATTGAAACCTTTTACAAGGAATCAGTACGCCTTTTGGCCTCATCTGGTCTAACACCGTTTGAGACGAGGCTCAAAAGAAAGCTGTCTCTGGTGTGGACCAATCAGTTTCAAGGACAATGCCAAGATATTATCAGAGTGTGTTTTTTGTTTGCATTCTGACCACAAGCATTGTGGTTAATGCAGACATGATTCCTTGTAAAAGGTTTCAGTTTGGCGTTTTAACAGTTTAGCACCTGTTTTGATGCCAGAAAAATGGGAAAAACCTATTATCATATTTGTCTTTTGTCAACGTGACACATTTTTTACTGATTGACCGTGTCGGGTGGTGGAGGGTTGCGACACATTTATAAATAACGCGATCTAACCCAAAACCCTTTATTATGGACAGAATTTCATATTGGAAGTATTTTTTTTCATATATATATTCTGAATAGCGTTGTATATGCCGATGCATGTGTTTTTTTTCATTCGTATTTTATTTTAAAACAAGCAGAAGGGGATGCTGTGTGAGTGTTGCCCGCACACTGGAGGTCGCCGGTTCGATTCCATCTCTCGGCGTTGCAGTCTAAAACAACAACCGTGCGAGTTTGTTACGTATGTGCATATGTTGACCTTCTTTCGCATTGTACGTAGCCAACCGTGCTAACCGGAGGTGCGAGGGAACGACAACAAACTAAACACGAAAAGCAGTTCTACATAAATTAGTTTTCAATCTAGATGATTTAAAAGTGCATCGCTCCAGTGGCTTCCTAATATCGGAGGGAAGAGCGTTCCAGACGGCCGCAAAAGTACATCTGAAAATCCCCACACCCGCCTCTGTCAACTCAGCAGTGCGATTGGTACGCTGCAGTTGATCGATCGACAGCTCGCGTGTGATGGGGTAAAGTGTGGGCAGCGGGGCACGTGTGAAATTGTAGCGTCCCTTTGTGTGTCGTCACTCGAAGGGATGTTCGGAAGTAGTTCTGTGCTAGCAACTTCCACAGGCCGTTTCAAAAAGCCACGACTACATTCAAAGCCACGACTTTGAATGTATTTTGCCCACTTTAGCAATTGTTTCTTGCTGTGGTTGTCCCACCTGATGACGGACGCTTGTGTTGCGCCCGAAACGTCGTGATTTATTATTTTATTTCTATTATTATTTGTATTATTTTATTATTATTATTTTTACCTACGTGACTTTACCGAAAAAACCTAAGAGTATGAATCCTTGCAGTCACGAAAGCTTCAAATCTAGAATTGAATGTATTCTTCACCATATGACACGACTCTGATGGCAAAAGTTTAACAAAAGGCAGTCTATAACCGATGATGATGAATGATTAGAATGACGATTCTCTTGATATTTTTTTGGAAGCTCTATTTATTCGTACTGGCTTAGGGCTGGGATTTCTTCTCTCGGGGATCACTGAGCTTCATCGCGATACCAGCACCCCACGACTCCTGATGCCAGAAATCACATTTTTTTAATCTAGATTTTCAAAGGACATGCATAGCTCCAGTTGGCTTCCTTATAACTCTGCCGGCTGTAGGAACTTCCTACGATGCTGTTGCTGGTCAACCTCCTCTCTCTCTCTTTTTTACGATCAGTGGAAAAAAGAAGATGCTCGGTGTAGTCGGCACTTTGTTTCGTTCATCATTTCGTAATTATTTTTTTTTTTATAATAAATTTGCTTTATGTAAACCCCCACCACTCGCTCACTCTCTGCACCGCCCCCCCCTCCCCCACCTATTCCTTCCACCTCTTCCTCGGGCCGACTGCGACCCTGTCTCTCTCCACTCTACCGCACCCCCCACAAAACCAGTGGTGATCCTAGCGCAACGGGGGGTGGGGGGCGAAGCACGGGGGGCACTTGCCAATGAATAGAATCATCGTGAGCCGACAGAAGAGACGTGGAGCGAAACGACAAAGTACGGCGGTGAGACGTACAGCACGTACGCTGAACTTTTCTCACCGCACGGTAGCCGAACGCGCTGATCGGAGGCGCGCGGTACAGAAGTGGAGTCGAGACGTTGCGAGACAGATGGTAGAGACACAGCGCACACAGCACAGAGAAGAAGAGAGAGAGAGATACTTACTTTTTGTGTTCATTATCCAACGCTACGTTTATTAGGAATTCAAATTGAGACGATATTTGATGCCGCCTCCCGTTTATGTTTTAATGAATCCAGAGCTCCCTTGGGCTACTTGGGGCTCTCACACTTGCGCTTTGGTTTGCCTTAGCAGCCACCACTATTCCAACCCCTACTTTATCCCCTCCCCCCCAACACCAATCATCACCTGTACCTCTCAGCGCAATGCCCTCAACGCGTCCACTGCTCCTTGCGATGCGATCGGTCGCACTTTGATTATTCGTGAAGTCTAGTTTATTATAATTTGTTCATCAAAGGAGAGTCACGTTTGAGTCACGTGACTCTTTATCAGCTGCTGCTGCTACATTGGGGTTTTTTTATTTGTCAGATGGTTTCAGTTAATTAATGATGAGTGAGCGAGAGAGTGAGCGAGAGAGTGAGCGAGAGAGTGAGCGAGAGGTGGGGGTTTACATTAATCAAAGTTATTATCTAAAAAAAATTACGAAATGATGAACGAAGCAAAGAGCCGACTACACCGAGCATCTTTTTGTTTCCACTGATCGTAAAAAAAAAAAAGATTAATGATGAGTAGTGTTCGTTCAACGCTTGGGGAGAAAACCGGAGCGCCCAGAGAAAAGCTCACGCCTTGCGCGAGGGGGCAACCCTCAATCCCCGTGCGGCGGCGATTAGTCCACGCTTTTCGGTATTGCCGTCTCCTGGTGAGCCAGAGTTATGGCATCGCCACGACGCCCTCCCGCCGCGAGGGAGTTTCGTAACATCTGTGCGTGATCCACCGAGCCCCTCGCTGCTGCCTCCACAGTGCTGGGTTACAGGCCGCGTGTAGCATGGGCGAGACCGCGTGGCTGTGGAGCGCTGCATTGTGACCACATTGTGACATCGGTCACTCCATGGCACCCAAGCCGGTGCCAGCGGCTTTTTTTTTTCATCTGCATTCGAGTCTCCCTTCTTCTTCTTTCGTACGGCTGCTGATGATGACGAAAGATGCGGAGCAGCAACCCACGACTTCACGTTCGGGTGGTCAAGCCAGACAACCGCGTCAGCAGAAGCAGCGGGGTTAGTTGACCGGCGCCGTGACGTCCCCTTAGTACATTTGTGGATCGGGGCATTGCGTCGTTATACGGCGTTACGGTCCCGTTCTGGATGACCACAGTCGCATTCTACTACTGGAGTTATCTGTGCATCGGGAATCAGCATCTGCTGCCACTGTGCGTGCGGACGCGATTCAGGGTGGACCGTGAACTTCGTGGAAGATCGAACCCAGGGATGCTCTGTGTTGGCTCTTTCAGAACAAGGTGATTCTTCGTGAGTTCTTTTGAACTCCACTCAGCTCCCCAGGCTTCGTGCATTCGAGGGACGCGGCCCAGCGGCGGTCGCATCCGTCCGCTTGCCGTCGCTGAGATTCGCGGTTCGAAATCCAGCGGCCGCCTCGGTTAATAGCCCGGCGGCGGTAGAATGTGGCCCTGTGATCGCCACCGACTGCAAAGGCAGCGATGGTTTGGCGGATCGCCGCACAAATGTTTCGAGGCTCCCATCGTCCCGCGGGAATCGAGGAGGCGTCGTACCCTGGCTCGCCAGAAGAAGGCGGTAGAGTAGAGAAAAAAATGTGG